ATCAATGTCTACCGTAGAATATTCTAAGGGAAATTTCCTCGCTAACTGCAATTTTCAAACTGGCAAATACTATGGAATTTATCAATTTTTGATCGTACAGCATATATCACTCTTAAAGGGCGGAAATTTCGAAACAACTCCACATGTTATTTCGCTTTCTGTCGCAGCATAGTTGCGTTTAGAGTTCGAATTCACTAAGTGACGATCAAGGCATGATCAAACTTATAGCATTTCAAGAGATCCTCGGATTAAAAATTACTTAAATTTCATTTCCAAATGATATCTCAATTAAAGTATATTTTTGAAGAGTCGATTTAATTACTATGAAAAAAGTAGTTTCAGAAGCACGAATAAATGAAGCAGTAGATAAACCTAATTTACTCTACTTCCCTTTTCTTTCTTTCTCTTTCTCTTCCTCCTTAATCAGAAAAGGCTGAAGCTATAACGATGATAAAAAACAGAGTTGTCCCGTTATTCAAATTTAACACTGCCTTAATCTCATATTAGAACACCTAATCCTGACCAGTTGATTCCATATATGACCGAATTTTGCATGTTAATATAGAAAATGCCTTTAAAATTAACTTTCTTGATTAAATTTGTGAAACTTGCCTAAAACGGACCTCTCGTAGTTTTATCAAATGCTACAGGTTATCCATAAATAATAACTTTATCATCAAGCACAGTAATCTTTTTAAAATTTCCCGAGGTTCTTATCCAATACTTTTACTGGTCAACCTGATTTAACCAATATAAAAAAATGTACTTTCAAAAGAGCAATAGTGGAAGTAGTAATAAACCGAATGCTGCTACATCGACTTTATATATATTATCTAAGTTCATTTATTCGTGATAGAGTTCCACGTTGACTGAGAAAGTATTTCGTTCTTGGCCTGATATAAATCATCAAACGGTAAAATAAAAGAACTCTAATTGAGAACTCGAATTCGAATTTTAGTTTAAGCAATCTTTGGAATGTATTGACATGAAAATGTGAGTCACGTGGAACAGTTTCATTTATTTTATTCGTCTGTTACCCTTTCATTTGTTTCAATTACCCAAAACAAGTTTACAATTAAAAATAATTTCAACTGATGGAGAAGTGCAAATAATCGATGGTATGAACAAGAATGACGTAATTAAGTGGAGCTGACCAAAGATTTGGGCAAATAATATTAGCGCGAAGTATGTTTGAATGCGAAGAGTTGTCAAGAAGCGGAAAATTCTTCACCAAATCCTCATAGTAAGCGCATCTATTCTGAGTCTAAAGTTTTACACTGAAAGTGATGTCTGATCTAATACTGCAATAAAGAGCTGAGCTCTATTTGACAGTGTCAGTGTGTGTAATACCTCCTATCATTATTACATTAGGAGGAGAACTATGTTCTCAGTTCATCATAAGTATTATTCCGCTCCGATATTTCATCCAAACATCGTCTGCCCATGGCACAAAAATGACAATGGAGAAGAAATGATGCCAAGACAGGTGTAGCTTATGGTCTGCATTGTTCTCTTCAAACTGATCAAAAGCTTTCATATCCTCAGGTTCAAATTACATCGAAACTCATTTATATATGACGTAAATCAGGCAATCCTGCAATAGCTCCTTTTTCTTTTCCCTCCATGAGTAGATGCATGTAAATTGTTGGGTGAGGAAAAAAGATTGTGTGGAGAGGTAAGAAGTCAACATGTATTAATCTGCTTATCAATTATCACTTGTTTATATCACCCATCACATAATTATCACCAAATAGGAAAAAATAAAACGTGATCACATCGGCATGATTGTCGCTTTTTTCTTATTTTTCTTCTACCTAATTTCTCTGTATCTTTTAATCTATCACCTTGTCGCATTATCATTCCTTGTTAAAATACAATATGATCAGACATGTAGGGATGAGCATTGTAATGGAACTGTTTGAAATAAGGATGTTTTCGAAAACCAGATTCTAATTTCAAGAAATTTTAGTGACTAAAATTCCACACCCACACCAAACAGCTGGCACTAGATGTTCGAGTGTGTGTTCGTTCTTAAACTGTTGCTCCAATTTTTTTCTAAACTGTCTAAAAAATAAAAAAAATAAAACAACGAACAAAAAGTAGCGAAATGATGACGTGGAATATAATGCTGAGGGTACAGTGAAAGTTAGTACAACAATTAAGCTAGAGATGATTTTTAATCTGAAATCTTCTGTAATCACTCTTCTAATTATAAGTAATTAAGTGTCAACTCGTAAAGACATTTCACACATATTCTTCACCTTTCATAATGCTTTCATGTATTTCAAATTGAAAGTGGGGTAATCACTTTCAATATATTTAATTATATTTAATTTCATATATTTAATTTATATTTAATA